CTCGGCTTCGGCTGAAGACAGTGCAACAGAATCTTGCTTCTTTGATCCCCATGAGAAAATTCCCGAACCAAGCTTAAATGCGTAACCAGAGGTGCTTTTCATGTCATCTTGTGATCCAGCCCAATCACTGTCGCTATATCCAGTTAGTCGTGAGTCAGGACTTAATTGTTTTGTACCAAATACCATAATTGATGGTTCCTTGTAGGTACCTAAGGAGTCTCTTTGCCGCTCCATAATGAGTCTCAGTTGGACTTTCCATGAACCTCGAGAGCAAGCTTGTAGCATACATTATGTCCGGCCTCGTGGCCGTTAAGTAGAGTAGACTCCCAATCAAACTCCGGTAATTGGTAGCATCCGTTTGCTTTGACCCATCTTCTTTCTTTAATTTCTCATTAGAAACCAACGGAGTAACGACGGCTTTGCAGTCTTGCATTTTTAACTTCTTTAGCATGTCCTTAATATATTTTTCTTGAGATAAGAAGATGCCTTCTTCTTCTTGACTTATCTCCATGCCAAGGAAGTAATGCATTAATCCCAAGTCACTCATCTCAAAGGTGTTCATCATGTCTCTCTTAAATTCTTCAATTAATTTTGAATTATTTCCCGTGACAATTAAGTCATCAACATATAGAGAGATGATGAGAATGTCAGTTTTACCTTGGGATTTGATGTATAGTGTAGCCTCGTTCTTGCTCCTCCTGAACCCTTGACGGGTGAAGTATCCATCAATCTTGCTATACCAGGCTCGTGGAACTTGTTTGAGCCCGTAAAGTGCTTTCTTTAGACAAAGAACTTTTCCTTCTTCTTTGATGAATCCTTCTGGTTGCTCCACATACACTTCTTCTCTTAGTTCTCCATTTAGAAAGGCTGATTTAACGTCTAGCTGATAAATTTTCCATTTCTTTTGAGCTGCAAGAGCTATGAGTGTTCTTATTGTGTCCATCCGGGCAACTGGTGCAAACGTCTCTGTGTAGTCAACTCGCGGTATTTGAGCATACCCCTTTGCAACCAGCCTTGCCTTATGCTTCTGAATTGAGCCATCAGGGTTCAGTTTCGTTTTGTACACCCATTTGACTCCAATAACCTCCTTGTTATGTGGAAGATCTACCATTTCCCAAGTATCATTCTTTTCTATCATTTTTATCTCCTCCTCCATTGCTTTATTCCAAACTTTTTCTTTGGAGGCTTCAGTGTAACTATGTGGCTCCAAGGAACAAAAGTTGCATGTTTCATAGACGTCAGTAGACTCATATAAGTCTGCTAGAGTTCTTACCCGAAGGGGTGGGGATTCAGGCGAGGAGTCATGTTCGCTAGATTTATTCGCTTTGGAAGAGGATCTTGGAGTAGATGTGGGGCTCTGTTGATCGTGATCTTCTTCTTCTGGGATTTCCTCTAGTTGGGTAGTAGTTGTCTTTCTTTCAACTCTTTTCGTCTCCCAATTCCAAGAGGCTTGCTCATCAAACTCCACATCTCGACTTGTCACCAGTTTCTTAGTCTCGAGATTATAGATTCGATATCCCTTGGATTCGGAGCTGTAACCGAGGAAGATTCCCTTCTCTGTCTTGTCTTCTAATTTGTGCCTTTTAACAGAGTGAACATGAATGTAGCATATGCTTCCGAAGACCTTCAAATGTTTGGCTGGAGGCTTTTGTCCTGACCATGCTTCAATAGGTGTTTTGTTTAAAACCGCCTTAGTTGGACACCGGTTTAGAAGATAGACTGAAGTATATACCGCCTCTGCCCAGAACATTTTAGGCATTCCTTTTTCAGCTAACATTGATCTTGCCATCTCCATGACTGTGCGGTTCTTCCTTTCGGATACCCCATTTTGTTGTGGAGTGTATGCTACTGTTAGTTGATGCTCCATGCCTTCATCTTCACAGAACTGGTCAAATTCTTTTGAGTTGTATTCGGTACCTCGATCGCTTCTCAACTTCTTGTTTTGATGACCACTCTGTTTCTCCACGAAGTTCTTGAATCTCTTGAATATTCTAAAAACTTCGGATTTTTCTTGGAAGAAATACACCCATGTCATCCTTGAGTAATCATCGATGAAGAGTATGAAGTACCTGTTCTTGGAAACTGAAGGTGTGCGCATTGGACCGCAGACATCGGTGTGGACAAGCTCTAGTATCTGTTTGGCTCTCCATGTCTTCTCTGTTGGAAATGGTTTCCTGTGCTGCTTCCCAACCATACATCCTTCACATACTCCTTCTTTTTCATCCAGTACAGGCATGTCTCTCATCATATTCTTTTGATGTAGTAATCTCAAGGCATTGAGATTGAAGTGCCCAAATCTTCGATGCCATAGACTTGTATCACTTAGTTGAGCCACCATTGCCTTTTGTGGATATTGCCATTGAATGGGAAAGTTTCTATTATTTCCCATTTTTACTTCGGCAAGAATTTTTCTCAAAATGTAGGGCATATCCACTTTCCATCATTTGGCCAACACTTAGTAGATTTTGTGCAAGGCGTGGCACTAGGAGAACATTTCTAATATAACGCGTACCTTTCTTTGTATCTATGACAATGGTACCTTTCCCTTTTGCCTCCACCAATTCGCCATTGCCCATCTTGACCTTTGTCTTGATAGAAGTATCCAACTCATGGAAGATGGTCTCGTTGGATGTCATGTGGTTGCTGCACCCGCTATCGATGTACCACTCTTCTTCTTTCGCTTCGATTGCCGAGTGACATGCATAGAACATGTACTCCTCCTTGAAATCTTCAGAATAGTTGGCCTGATGATTTCTTCTATCTCTGCAATATTTTTCTTCATGCCCAAACCTCTTGCAATTTTTGCATTGTGGCTTTCCTCGATGGTAGCAATCTTTCTCTAAGTGGTTAGTCTTCTTGCATATTTTGCATGGTGGAAAGTTTGTCTTCCTCTCCTTGTTGTTAGAATTACCATCTTCATAAAATTTAAAGTTTCCACCATTTCTTGAGTCATTCCTTTTAATGTTGAGCTTAGATTGGAAGGCACTTTCTAATGAACTTTCATATCTTCTGTTCAGCCTGTGCTCACGTGCTTCTAGCGACCCCATTAATTCAGTGATGGACATTTTTGATAGATCTTTTGACTCCTCAATAGCCGAAACTACTGGGTCATACTTTTCAGGGAGACTGATTAAGACCTTTTGGATTATTTTCTCGTCGGTTATGTTTTCTCCAAGAGTTCTCATTTCGTTAACTATATGTATAACCCGAGAGAAATAATCTTTTGCCATTTCAGAATCTCTCATCTTCAAATTTTCAAACTCTCTTCTTAAACTTTGTAATTTAATAGTTCTAACTTTCTCATTTCCTTGAAATTCCTCCTTAAGAATATCCCAAGCTTTTTTTGCCGTAGTAGCACAAATTATTCTCGGGAAAATGGTATCACTAACGGATTGTTGAAGAAGATAGAGAGCTCTAGCATTTTGCTGCTTTTGTTTCTTACATACCTCGGAAGTTGATGCGTCGTCGCTTCCTTTTTCCGGAGTGATGATTCATTCTTCAACAATATCCCAAAGATCATGTGATTCTAGGCAAGTCTTCATACGGACACTCCAATAGTCGTAGCTTTCTCCATTGAACATCGGAGTCGATACCGAGAAGCTTGATGTCGCCATAACGCCCGCTTATGATCGAACAGGCTCTGATACCACTTGTTAGAAAATAGAAGAGGTTGTTGGTATATGAATATGTTAAGTGATTTTAGTGAGGTGTAGTGTAGAGGAGGTGTTTTAGAGTAGAGCTCTTATCTCTAGAAAAGATATATTGTATTGATGTTTCTTGGTTTGCATGGTGAGCAAATGAGTACAATGAGTCCTATTTATAGGTGCTAGAGGATCATTCTAGATCATTATTAAATGCTATGATTCTAGAGTATTCTACAACTATGTCTAATTAATCTAGATTTTACAAAAGAATCCTCTAGTGGAGAATTCTCTAGAATACTTGTAGCTATATTTCTCTAGAACATCTCTAGCCTTTTCTACATAGAATATTCTAGATAAATGCATCATTATTTAATACCTGTCAGCACTTCGGGAACCACATTGTAAAAATCAACTTCCGGAACAAACAGATGCGGTACTGGTAGCTCTATACTCCTTCCCATTTTCTTGTTTACAAGAAATTCAATGAGGATCGCATCAGAGGGATCAAAGGTGATCCCTCTTGAGAAGACAAGCGGCGTCGAAGTAGCAGTAGTTGCCGCCGTCTGTGATTTGCCGCCGCCGCCGGTGCCAACAACACAGAGCTGGGGAACTATTCCCGGCTGAGTCGTAGGAGTTGCCGTCGAAGTGCCGGCGCCCCCACCCAAAACAATCATTCTTCCCTCCTCCGGCTGATGATGAGTAGCCGTCGAAGTGCCGGCACCGCCGCCACCCAAAACAATCATTCTTCCCTCCTCCGGTTGATGATGAGTAGTTGTCGAAGTGCCGGCGCCGCCGCCACCCAAAACAATCACTCTTCCCTCCTCTGGCTGATGATGAGTAGCCGTCGAAGTGCCGGCTCCGCCACCCAAAACATTAATTCTTCCCTCCTCCGGCTGATGAGTAGCCACTTCCATCCCCGACGGTGGCAAGTTCAAGTCTATCATCGGCGGCAGTTCATTTAAATCCATCTAACCCTCCATTGCGCGCAAACCAGATTATTGAGAGAGATCAGAGCTAGAGATAATGGCAAGATTCTTTAGGGATGAATACCGGACTAACCAACTATTCCATATATATATATATATATATATATATATATATATATATATATATATATATATATATATATTGAAGAATTCAATTGCAACAAGCATGAAGCTTCCTCCATGTGCAAGCAACAACCATGAAGCTTCCTCCATGTGCAAGAATGACAAAGGGAGCTTCCTCAACCACCATTGAAGTTTCCTCATGTTTAATCCCACCTTCCTCCCACCTTCATAGTACCTAGTTTTGGTACTATAAATAGAGAGCTTGGAGAGTCTTTCTATCATCAAGTAAATTAGAATAGATCATCATAGCACAACCAAGAAGAGTTGTGAATATCCTTGAGAGATATGTGAGGTGTTGTTTTTGAGAGTTTTTAGTTAGAGCTTGTATGTCTCTTCTTTCTATTCTTGAAAGTAATAGAAGTGTTTTTCTCTCATATTAGCACGGTCTTGTTATTCCCAACAAGTGGTATCAGAGCCTGGTTGAGCTTTTGATATTTTTCCAGATTTTTTCAGACAAAATTCTACTGTCTGAAAAATCGTGTTTTTCAGTATTGCTCGGAATTGCAATCTGAATATACCGTTGGATTCGTCTCGTCGAGACGAGAAAACTGGTATTTTTGGGGAATTTTTTGGCCACCGGAAGCTGCCGTACGCGTCGCCAAACGCCGGCAAAAACTGCCTGCGTCATCGCTGATGTCATCACGCGCAGTCCAGAGATAGAAGACGGCTGACGTCATCGCTGACGTCATCAACCAGCCAGAGCTGCGCCACATGTGCAGTCCCAGCACAGTCGACCGCCACGTCATTAGTCAACTGCCATCTTTCACCTGCGTCCAGTCAGCTGCCACGTTAGCGCCACGTCGCTGCCACGTCACCGGTCAGTTTTTAAATTTTGAAAAATTGCAGTTTGGTCCCTCAATTTTTGAAAAATTATAATTTCGGCCTATGATTTTTCGAAAATTGTATTTTGACCCCGAAAGTGCCTACCCACCATTTTCGGCCGTTCAGGACGCAACGGTGCTGCCCGTTTTTCGAAATTCTGCTCCGATTTTTCTGAAACAGAAAATCAAAATTATTTAGAAGGTGAAAATGACCTTTGACGAGTCAACTTCATCTTCCGGAGCTATGATTATGCTCACGGCTACCAACTACACGCTATGGAAACCTCGGATGGAAGATTTCCTTAGCTGTAAAGACCTTTTTGATCCAATAGAGATGAAAGGTATTAATCCTGACCCGGCCAAGTCAACAAAGTGGAAGAAAATTAATAGAAAAAGGGAAAACTGTCAAATATGTTCTCGAACTTTCATAAAAAGGTCAATTAAATACTTCTATAAGAGGTTCTGTCCGCCCGTCGCGATTTGGGGAAGTTCCCGGTGGATAGTCCGGTGGATACTCTTAAGCTTGGTTTAGAATAGGATTTCTTTTATATTTTTATAGCATGTTTAGTCTCCAAATGAGGAGCTAAACTTCCATTTCTTGGTGTTGCTCTTGAAGCTTGTTGATTATTAAAGTTGTGAGTTATTTTCTTAACTTCTTCCCTTGAATATTAATTTTTCTCTTAATCTATCTATATATTAATGTTGGGGAGTGTTGCTAAGATGACAATTAGTTAACATCTCGACATTAATTATGGTAGTATTTATTTTCTTCCTCTATATATTAATGTTGGGGAGTGTTGCTAAGATGACAACTAGATAACATCTTGACATTAGTTATAGTAGGATTATTCATATTTAATCTTCTTCCTTGAATATTAATTCTTCACTTAGTCTATCTCTATGTTAATGTTGGGGAGTGTTGCTAAGATGACAATTAGTTAACATCTCAACATTAATTACTACTAGAAACGTTCAACGAACTGATGGTGAATCGTTGATGGTTTCACAAGTAAGTAACTTCGCTTTATTAATGCACGGTCGTGGTTAATAAAACTTAAGAGGGATTAATTTTGTTGGTTAAACCGAAACCGTTGTGTTGAGGTTATCAATCTCAATTGATTTCATCAAGGAGTTAAGAGATTAAATGCTACTATCAAGTCGGTATATGGCGGTGTTCTATACTTTACTAATAGTAAGGGTTATTAATGAACGGTCGTTGTTAATAACTATCCTCGATGAATTGGATATACTCATCGATTGAGTATTCGAGAGGGGATAAGTTATAGATATAACAATGATCGACTGAAATATATCAACAAGTGGAAAGTAGCAATGCCAAGTTCCCTTTTATTCTTAAATTAAATCTCATATAAGTCGTTCATCTTCGTGTTTAAATTAATTAAATCACTCAAACAAATCCCCCCCTTTTATTTACTAGTTTCATAAAAAGAAAGTTATTTCTTTCCCTGTGGATACGAACCTTACTACACTATACTACGTATTAGTGTTGTATTGAATATTTATTTTGAAGTGCACACTACGACAAAGTGCACGTCACACCCCGATTGAGGTGACCCCTCGGCCGTTGGATTAGTGACACGTGTACTCTCATCGCATTTATTACTGCTATAAATAGCAGCCCTTATTCCTCTTGTAAAGGATCGTGCTATTCATGTAATTTCTGATTGTATGTTTGTATTTTTAACTAGTTTTTATTAGTTCTAGTTGTGGAAACTACACACTTTTGGTGTAATACTTTATTTTCATTTTTATTTGTAATTTAGTTAGATTAGGATTTTTCTGAGCTAAACAGGTCAAAGATCATCTAAGGGATCAAGATTGGACCTTAAAAGATCAAGGAAAGTGCAAGGAGACAAGAAAGATTTCGATTTGGAAAAAATACTCATGTACCCGGTCGGGTATTGCCTATACCCGATCGGGTAATTGCTTGATTCGACTGTCCAAATCAAATCCGAAGACAAATGATCATGGGAGCAAATTTTCATAAAGATTTGTCACATACCCGATCATGGGTAAGTTGACCATTACCCCAAATACTTCTAATCCCCCCCTTGATTACCTCCATGGAATCTTCTAACGCTTTTAAACCGTCTTGCACACATAAATTTATAACATGACATGCACACCGTTGATGAAAAAATCTACCCATCAAAGTATTGGCACCACACAACTCACGCAATCTAGGTATAGCAGCAGTATTATTAGTACCATTATCGAAACCAATAGCAAACACCTTATCAATCAAATTATACTCAATTAAAATACGCTCAATCAAAATATAAATATGTTCAGCGGTGTGACGATCATTAAATTCATGAAAAGCAAGAACACGTTTATACATATTCCAATCCTCATCAATATAATGTGCAGTCAGACCCAAATAATATAAATGATGAAAATCATCCTCCCATATGTCAGAACAAATAGTAAAACGCCCATCAAAGTTTGCAAAAAAAATTGTAACCTTGCCTTTTCCGCATTATAAAGCCTTATTATTTCTTTCTTAACAGTTTTGCGACTATAATTTCTAAATTGAGGATTTAAACTACCTTGTGCATAATCTCTTAAAGCAAGACTTTCAGAAAACAAATAAGACAAATTTTCTTCACAAATTAAGTTAGTCATACCAGTCAAATTTTGTGCATCATTGTAGGAGAAATTAGCAAAAGGTTGAGAATTCGCAAACCTCGATATTTGAGTTTGCTTCCCCGTTCCGCCGCCTAATTTTGCATACTCCACGGGGTGCTTTGCCTTAAGATGCCTTGCGGCGGATCCGTATCCGCCGGAGGTTCCCAAACTATAATTGTTGTTGCACCACTTGCAAGTTGCATGCCAATAGCCGGTTTGTAGGTCCTTCCATTTATCAAAATTATTTTTCATTAGTTCAGACTTACTTTTTTTATTACCGGTGATGGTTTGGGATGAGGCAGGCTCGTCGGCGTCGTGGCTGCCGGCACCCTCCTCCTCGGCCGTCTCCGGTTCCAATTCCTCTGCATCTTCATCCTCAAGCTCCTCTTCGTCAATGGTCGTCGGCATTTGTTGTTGTTGTAGAAAGCGGTTATTATGTCGGGCCAATTCTTGTTGGATTTGTTCTTCGGACATCGCATCTCCATCTCGCCTTTGGTAACCCGTTTCAAAATCATCTCGGCTTTGAGATGAAGAACCGGCAAGTTCTTTACCTTTGCGGGATTTCTTCCTCCCAATCTTGTTACCCAAATCAACCGAATATCTACCACCTTCCATCTTAAAAATGTAACAAATATAATAATGGATACAAAACTAATGCAACTAATTAAAACTATTTTAATTAATACTTCAAACTAATTTAGTGCAAAGTAGAATTAATGTGTGACTTTAAAATTAAAATTATACCAACTTTTGAAGTACTTTAATTTAGTAAAAACTACTTAAATAAAATGTGAAGTACTTTAATTAAATGATTGAACTACTATTTCTTCCTACAAATATAAATTGAAAATAAGAAAATGTGACTTTAACTATAATGACAATTAACTAGTTTATTGAAGTAGAGTTGTTTTAACAATTAATGAACATACTAATGAAGTAAATAACTAGTATAATGAAAAATGTAACAACAATGCTAATTAACTAATTAACTAGTATAATGACAAATGTAACAAGAATGCTAATAAACTAATTAAATAGTATAATGAAAAATGTAACAACAATGCTAATTAACTAATTAACCAGTATAATGACAAATGTAACAAGAATGCTAATAAAGTAATTAACTAGTATAATGAAAAATGTAACAATAATGGTAATGAACTAATTAACTATTATAATTAAAAATGTAACAAGAATGCTAATTAACTAATTAACTAGTACAATACTAGTTATAGTAAGTAATATATAATATAATGTTTATAGTATGTAATATATAAGTATACTACTATAAGATGAGTAATACACTTATATTTTATACTTTAATATATAAAGTATATATTAAGTAGATGTAGAATGTATGTATTAAGTGGATATAATAATTGTATAAGAATTAAATATTAGAGTATAATGGAGAATTGGAGATTGGAAAATAAGAAAATAAGTATACATAAAATAGATAATATAAAGTATATATAAAAGTAGATATTATAAAATAAGTATATATAAAATAGATATTATTAAGTAGAGAAGTAGATATTATTATGTATTAAGTATATAGTAATAGTTTATAAAGTATATTTAATACTTTATTATATAAAGTATATATTAAGTAGATGTAGTATGTATCTATGTATTAAGAGATATAAGTAGAGATTAAGTAGATAAGAAATATAACTATATAAGTAATATAGTATATGTATTTATAAGTAGATAATTAATATATAAGTAGATATAATAATTGTATAAGTATTAAATAGTAAAATAAAATATAAAGGAGAATAATAGAATTTGAGAAGATGAATATGGAATATTGGAGATGAGTAGAGAGTAGGATTTAGGGAGAGTTGGAGAAGAGGTGTGAAAAAATGTTTAAAATTAGGAGTATTTATAGGTTTTTTTAACCCCCACCCCCCACCCCCCCACCCCCACCCCCCCAAAGGCCTCGGACCCCCCCGGTACCCACCCAACGGCTATATAGCCGTTTGGGAAGTGGCTGTTGAGCCAAAATGGGGGTTTTTAAATTAAAAGATTTTTTTTTTAAAAAAATATGACCGTTAGGCCCGGGCCCGGGCCCGACCCTGCCGGGCCGGGCCACCAAAAACAGAACCCGAGCCCGGACCCGCTACCCCCACCGGTTCGGTGCCCGAACCGGACCCGGACCCAAGAACCGGGCCGGTTCCGGGCCCGTACAGTGACGGGCCGGGCCGGTCCCAGGCCGGGCCGGTCCCGGGCCGGGTGGCCCGAACTTAACCGGGTCCATACCTAATTGAAAATATCCATTATCTTCTATAGATAAATTATGAATGCTTACTGACAAAGTTATTTGCTTAGGGTCAGTTTGGATGGAGGCATGGAGCCTGGAGGGCTTCTCAGGGCTAGTCTGTATTTTAAAATATCTAAGATATATGCAAGTATGTGTGTGTGTGTTCTATTCATCAATACTACTTCATTCAAGCTGAACCGTACAAAGCATTCGTATCAAACCAACTTGCAGGTTCAGCCGCTTCCACCAGCTGGTCCAGCTCTACTTTTTTATCCTCTTGTGATATTTATTAAGGAACTCAGCTTTCTGGTCATATGAGTGGGACTGTGGGACATGTATACATACTCTAGCAGTGATATTTTATGCTTTGTGAACGGTGTTTGAACCTTTTTCTTTTCATGGAATAAATGACTATAGTTGTTTGCATGTCCATACCAACTTTTGTAGTTTTATCATAAGATTATAACCAAGGTGATGTGTGCTCCCTATCTTTAGAAACCCATCTCTTCTTTCATATTCTCCACCGAAATTCTCAAACCCAACTCTATCATAATCGGTATGGTTTTCTTCTTCATAGTAACAATTTACTTTTTGTTTCCTATTGAATGAATAAATCTATCACGTTCTGAATGTAGGATTCTTCCACCTTCTTTCTTGGAAGTTGCCAAGAGGCATCTCACACCTTCTTGGAAGGAGGTCTCCAACAAATAAAGATGGGAGAAGATATGGAGATAACTATGGAAGCATGGATGCAACTTCCTCTTGTCTCCAAAGTAGCCTATAAATAGAGTGTTCTATTGTTGTTCATTGTATCAGTTTAGAAAGTGAGAAAAGTGTGTGAAGAGTGAAATACACTTAGAGTAGAAGTGTATTGGTGAGGATTGGTTTTTTGTAATAGTTGAGTGTGAGAGTTTGCTCCTCCTATTGTAATTCTGTTCTTGATATTGAATAGAAGAATTTTCCAATCCCAACAAGTGGTATCAGAACGAGGTTGAGTTTTCATACACTGTTTTCTTATTTTCAGATAAATTTCTACAGGTTAGAAAATCGTGATT